TTTTTCCCATCCTGCTGAGCCAGCACTGCGCCAATGCCTGTCTCTTATACACATCTAGATGTGTATAAGAGACAGGTACAGGGGGGTTATGGGGCGGGTACGAGGGTGTTGAGGGGCGGTTTAGGGGTGGCGTATGGGGGTGGTTTTCTTTTTTGTTTTTTTGTTTTTTTTTGGGGGGAGGGGGTTTGGGTATGGTGGTGTCGGGGGTTTGGACTCCCCAAAACAATTTTTTCCCTTCTTTTTTGCAGGGTTCCACCAACCGCCGGCCTGTGCAACTCTCATGTACAGGGTACAGACAGTCCCCCGCCCCAGGAGGCCCAACACTGAGAAGGGCTACAGCCTCTTACGTAAATATATCTGATTCCGTCAGGATTCAAACTCATGATCTGTTTATTAACAGGTACATCTGTGTACCAAAACTTAGCCCTTGACCAATGTTTATGTCACTTTTTGATAGATTCGCATGCGACTTGGGCCGGTTCTCAACGCACGATAGCAAAAAAAGGGGGTAGCCCCTGTAGGCTGTATCCATCTGAATGATCTGATTCCATCGGGATTCTAACTAATGACTTGTTCAATAACAGTTGCATGTGTGTACCAAGACTTGGCATTTAAAACACCAATTCCCACGGAACTGTCATGGCGCACGATTTGCCTGGGAACGCCTACCTTTTCCGTCCAGAAGGCCCGACCCATAATTTTATGGAGGGGTAGCCGGCACGTTGGAACAATATAGCTGGGATAGGAACTGGTGGTCCTTCGGGACATCCGTTAAAATTGGAACGATACAGAGAAGATTAGCATGGCCCCTGCACTTTCAAGGATGACACGCATGAATCGAGAAATGGTCCAAATTTTTCAACAAAAAAAAAGGAACTGGTGGTTCAACAACCATAAATGTCAGCTTTTGCTCACTTCACTTTCCGACTTACCTCGTCTTGAAACACGGGGGCTAATGCACATTCAATTTGAGTTGAGAGCCAAGTAAGACGGGACGCCTGGCTGTGCACCCGCCCAGGTCCCCCTAGGCAGCTAATCCTTTTTTTTCCCTAAATTGATGGTGGGGCATTTCTGCACCCACCAAGATCAGTCCTAATCCAGGCTCTTCGGATTATTCAAGACTTCAATCATCAATGTCAGCAATCCACATGCACACAACTTCATTGGAAGCATCTCACACTTGATTGGAAACTACACACAGAGATGCCATTGATTAGATAACAACAGTACAAAATCGAGAGAAACGTATGTCCACCTGTTAAAACCAGATGCCCTGGTCACTGCACATGAAGTAGACTGAAAAATGATCCGGTATTCAGAATAGTTCTTCTCGCTATGGCTGCGCCCAACACTCCTTTGCGCTAAGAATAATGCTGCTTGGCTTCTTTCCCTGCTCACCTAATCGAATGAAAAAAATTCAAGTTCCCTCCATGATCATTTATTTCATGATGATGTTACCGGGAGAAAAACTCGATGAAAGGTCCAGAATATAGGGTTGACAAACGGAAACTCTATTTACAGATCCTACGTTCGAATCTCATCAGCAGCAGAAAAAGCCAAATAACCGACTACCAAAACATACCTCGCCTTGGGCCAGGTTCTAGGTTCAAATCCCACCTCGGCCCAACACTCCCTTCGCCTCAGTTTGGCCTCCTCTGATCAAATACATATGGTGAACTGAGAAGTGTAATTGACAGACCACACGACTCCGAATGTACTCCACCACATCATTACGCATAGTAGGCAAGCTCCAGAAGCCCCTGGTGGCACCAGCCGAAAGGGGGAAAAATATATATAATAACGCTACCATGTGCACAGGGAGAATCCACCCCGGCAAAAAGAGGCTCAGAGGCAGTAAAAGCCCAAGTGTCCCTCTGCCTTATGGCATTTGTGAAGAACTTCTGCCCTCCAATTGTGCTGCGAAGGCCTGCACACTCGGTCCAGTCTGCTATCCACGAACAGGGATCCTCTATGGAAAGTATAACCCAGTGCTGAACTTGGATCACACTCCATATTCTGCAATAATCGGAGCAAGCACAGGATTAGCTGCAATTGTGCTGCTCAGACTATCCCTGACTCCCCATCTTGGCAGGATGGCTCCCAACAGGTCACACCTTCATGAGAGAGCATCTGCAGCTTCGTTGTGCCTCCCCTTCTTCCACTGCACACAGACCATCTCACTTTCTTGTCTAATAACTTTGGATGCGTCTTCGGGTACTGCAGTGCCTGATGGTATGAGCGAACCTTGAAGGCAAACTGTGGCAAATAGTTCCGCCATGTATGCAGGGCACAATACACAGCATACAGCTCCACCTTGTATGGCACAAAAATTAACAAGTTCTCTTTCAGTTTAAAGACCGTACCCATCAACCTGCTTCAGAGACGCGCCAAACAAGATATCATCTTTCTTTCACACAAATGGGGTTGTACGATCTGAAACTAAAGTCACATACTCAATTTGACAGTCTGTAAACGGCAGGTGCAATAACTCAGCTTGAAACATGCAATAGCCGTGAGCCATGGGTCGTCACTTCGGTCTAAGGGCCGAATCAGGGGCCAAAGGCCACACCCGAGTCATGGAAAATTGGCTGAACCAAGGCCTGCTGCTGTGGGTATCCGAAGCATGGCCTAAACCTGGGCTTCAGATGCCCTACGCGCAACAGTTGACCGTCACCAGCTCGGAAATTCAGGCTCACGAGTCAAAGTCAGCATGGGCCCAGCCCAGGCCACCGATCAGACACACACACTTGGCTGTTTGCAGGTATCCGTCAAGAATCCAGTCCACGTGGGAATCTGCAACTGTATGACATCCAGACCATTGACTGCGGGTCAATCTGGGCCATCGTAGCAGAGAGACCAGAAACTGGTCAACAGGACTCAACACTATATGTTGACCCAGCCGCTGCTGACCGACATTCAGTCTTGCACTTGCTGCTCGACGCTGGCTCTATGCTGGCTGGAGGCTGGCTCGATATTGGACGACGACACGAGACTGCTACTGCTAAGCGCTGGTGCCATTCTCTGTCTTTGGCGCCAGCTTTCTTCTTGATTATGCTGACGTGGCTCTCGCCACACTGTCTACAACATCGATGAGATATCGACGAGGAGGAGAAGGATCAGGACTGTGAGATTGGTCGAGTGAAGAAAGGAGAGCTCACCTGTTCTCGATCGTGTCGACATTGCTCTCTGCTGTCGTCTTCAGAAGGAGTCTGCGCGGTGCGCGCCATGTTGAGATATGTTCGATGTCAGTGTTTGTCAGAGGAAACCGTCTGGTGACATGGCAAGTAGGAGATGCCCGAAGGAGTGGGCCAAGAGGGAGATCTATCTGCTGAAGCTGATGGTTACTTTCTCTTCCACCCTCTCAGTCTAATCTCCCTCTCATCACTCTCTTGACATTGGACTCTTGATTACTTGTATGACTGGAGACACTGAAACTGCGCTGAGACATTCTGTACTTTGACATTGCTGAGCTTTCCTCCTGACTGGGATCATTGCAGTAGGGATCAATTCTTCCACATGGATGGATGGATGAATGGATGGAGGCAGAGAGGAAGGGAGGGAGAGAGGACTGGATGGAGGGATGAAGTGATGCATGGGGGAAGGGACGAGGGAGGGACGAAGGGATGGAGGGATTGAGAGACGGAGGGACAGAGGGACAGAGGGACAGAGGGACAGAGGAAAGAGGGACAGAGGGACGGAGGGACAGAGGGACGGAGGGACGGACGGACGGACGGAGGGATAAAAGCACAACATCCTGCCCCTATCTCAGCATCTTCCTCCTGTCCCTACCTTTCCTGCATTTTTCAAATGTGATTTCCTACCCACCCTTCACACCACCCAGCTATTACAACCCTTCTCGGTCTCAACCTGCAGTAAATCTCTTGGCCCTTCTCCGGATCATTAGAGTGCACCACTGTCACGCTGATCCCGAGATTTAGACACGGGTTTTTTCCCATATCTAAATCAATAGCATAGATATCGTCACACCATTGCATATTTGCTGCGCCCAGATTTTCGACATGACTGCACATTTTTCATGCCCAGCAAAAGACTGACCACCCGTGCCATGATTTCCTGTGAACTTTCAGATACAGAAACATTCTCGTAAAATGCATGTCGTTGCATAAACTTGACCAGGATTGCATTTGTGGCCCAACACATACGCTCGTAATGGCGAATTTGACATTCCCGGTGGCCAATGAAGATGAGCACAAAAATAATTGCCGTGATTATGATGACAACCAAGGTTGCCGTTCCGAACGTACGGAGGCCCCTGAGCTGACCCCCGAACGTTCGGGCGTTCGGGTCCCCGTATGGGGCCCGAACTTGAAGGGGTTCGGAACCCGCAAAAAAATATTTTGACACCTAAATATTATTATTTTTTTCTGAATTTTTTTCTGTGAGTTCATTGTGATGTAAGGTATCTCCCATGCTTGCGGCGCGTCGACATGCGCTGCACCCCGCACACGCGCCGCCCCACGCACGGTGCACGCGCACGGGGTGCAGCGCACCCCGAAAATAAAGTGTCGACGGAAAAAAAAAA